TTATAGATTAATTTGGTATAAATTTCTCATTTTTGAATCTGGGAGCTCTAACCCGTGTTTTCCTAGAACAGTCCCCATATGTTGTTGTTATTGTCGCAAAATTGATTTTGGTGACTCAAAGTCGAGTTAAAGTCAGATGGCGGTCAGCTTGTATATGAAACATATGTAGTGTAATTAATGCCGATCATTTCTTAAAATTGAATACCCGCTATGTTATTCGCACCTCCCATTTTTGTTATTCGCACCCCTCCCGTGACTAAGTGTAGTAAGCGACCAATGAATGGCTTTAAAATATGATGATTTTATTGGTTCATCTTTGTCTTAGTCACGGGAGTGGTGCAAATAACAAAAATGGGGGTGCGAATAACAATTCCCATTATTTATTAGTTTACTAAATCTAATTATTTTTCACTATTCGTTCATTTGATGTTAAAAAAAATTTTGATCTTTCCTTATCTTTTGGTTTATTTTTTTATTTTTTTTTATTTTTTATCTACCACGTCCATCTATCGGAGAGGTTTCTTTTCTTTTGTTTGCCGCGGTCTACCCCGTTGATCAACTAACCCCAGAAATAATCATTAACCGAATGAGTGCGATAAGAACTAAAATAACGTACAATAATAAAATAAGGTAAAATCTAAATAATAAAAAATAAATTGTTTGTTTATGTCGCAAACAAAGTAGTCTATCTATATATATACAACAAACAAAAATTACGCTAGTACTAAAGTGTATGATTATTAAGTAAATACAGTCGTCGCGTAATAAAAATCACATTTGGTCAATGAATGAATGTGCCGTTGGAAAGTTTTTGTTCCGTTCGCGAATTAGTCATTTTTTTCGATTGTGATTTTTGATTGTGATCCTTCTTCCCTTTAAGTGAGTTAGTAATTTTTTTGATTGATATATAAACTGTTTGTAATTATCGATCGAGCAAAATTCTTTTCAATTGAATGACTCTCTTTTCGATAAAACGATAAATAAAAAATAACACAATAATACTTTGGCTTATCTTTTCTTTATCTTTGACTTTTTTTTTCTGAAAAAATGCCATCGATCAATGTGCGTCATTTGATTTTTTTTTTCCACAGCTCACTTGAACAGGAGACCGTTCTATATAAGGAATGAATTTTCACAATTTGATTTCAATTTTTTTTATACAGTTTAAAATACTTTTACAAGGGTATTACGTAGCAATAAATCATGTGTATATAATTACACAAATTTGAATCTCACAGCTTTCATAATACGATTTGCTCGAAGAAAAAATGTCTGAAATTAAACGTTGCATGGAATGTAAAACCACCAAATCAGCTAAATTTCGTCAACTGAAAGGCAATAAATGGAAAGAAGCTGAGAACAACAACTTAATGAAGGTAACGTGGACAGAAGATGTTGTTTTATGTAACATTTGTTTGATTTTTCATGCGTTGTTCATTTTTCGTCTCGATCATGTATCTTAATTTCGTTGTGTTTGCGATCATTTCATTGACATTTGTTATGTTAAGGTTATTTTGATTATATCGAAAGAGAAGAGTTAGGAAGAGTTATTCTTCAACCAAGTCAAAAACCAACCCTTTAAATACATTTTCGAGTAGTACGATTTAATTTATTAGACCGTTTCAATGGTTTGTCGTATGGTTGCTTCCAACTTCTTAAATTCGAACCATTTGTTAATGAATAATTGGATTGTTAACAAAATGAATCAAACCCATATTTATTTCTACGTTATCAAATTCACGATTTTAATTGGTCAATCACCAAATTGCGTGGGTTAAAATTTTGTGTTCCCAGAACGGTCTCTCTGCTCACTTGCACATCCTCGATCACAAAACTTGTTATTTATGTATAATTATCTGAATTCGTGTTACGTTTTGCGTATTAATTATTATTAATCAATCCGTAGCACATTAATATTTATTTAACTTTATTTAGTAGAGATTGATGACAATTCTCCCGGAACGGGCGGATTCGCTCAAAACGTGCGGATTCGCCCAAGTACAAAGTGAGCGAATTCACGCAATCTGAGCGAAAACGCACAATTTGAGCAGATTCGCCCAAACTGTGCGGATTCGCGCAATTCGGGCTAATATGTAAAGGACATGTATATAAAGAACTTGATTTCGGCCTAATGTAAAAGCAACTTTCTTACAAGTTAATTAGTTTCGACTAAATAAAATAGAAATATTTTATTTAAAACTTTTATCTTCTTTAACCAAAATTATTCGCTAATAACAAAATAAATTCGTTGATCCTCTATTCATTCTGATCCACACAAAATAAAAATAATTGTTATCACCAATTAAAAATATGCTCTCCCAAATTTAATCGGTGACACAGTGATGAAGCCACCAAAAAAGCATATTGGGTACGAATCGAGCACAAATAGCGATGTGTCGCGCATAGTGTGTTACGCATAGTGTGCTACGCATAAGGTTTTAGATATATTTTTTATAGACATTTACTTATTAATAAACATTTCTAAAAAAAATTAAATATGCCATTTACTTTCTTATTATTATATGCACATTTATGATATTTCCCTCCCTATGATATATATACACTATGCGCACTATGCTACCATGCGAAAAAAATCACGGTTACTATGAATGGCACATCTCTAGGTTAGAGTAATAAAGAACAAACACGTATGATTTTACTTATGTTGACAGCTAATTTACTATTACCTCTCCATAAATAAATACAAGTTTGATGATAAAAAATTTAACACATTAGGTTAGAACAATGAGAGTAAAAAACAAATATGTAAAACCTAACTTAACATGATTGATGATAATTGTTTGTTAATTTACCATTACCCTCCATAATATAAGGATTTTTCTCACGAAGAACTAACTTCCTCAATTGTAATTTGTCCACCTTTGTTTATGACACCTTCATCGTATGATGACAATTATTACTGTTTTTATACAACAATTGAAGAAAATCCACATGAGAGTAAAACCATATAAAAAAATACTACTATTTTAGCCTGTCTGATATTTTAATTCTTTAAAAAGAGTTTTATCTCTTTCTTTTCAATATCACTTTACATGTTTCTGAGCGATGTGTTTTAATATAGTGTAAATGCATTATGATTTTCCTACTAGGTAAAAAATGTTTGATATTTCATGGGTTATTGTTTTTATTATGCCATCATTATATAAAAAAACCAATTTTGGACAAGAATCCAGCAAATCATTTTTTTGTGGTATCACCCATAACCCATACTGATTTAATAAATTTGATATTTACCTTTTGGTCAGTCTGTCTAATTTCGTCACATCTCGTCAACTATGACAAGTCAAAGGCAGTGCAACTTTTTTTTCTCATGTTTATATTAATAAACGCGTCATTATAAGTGTTTAAATGTAATAATTTATTTATGATTTTTTATTTGTTACACATATTTCTCTTCATTGTAATACTACTATTACTATTACTATTACTGTTACTATTATTATCAGTCATACGTGATGTCACAATGAGTGATTTTGTTATAGCAATCGACATAGTACTTTTCCATACAACAGACTTTAAAACCAAAAATGAACAAAAAAGCATGATCAAACATCCTTCATGTCTCTATGTAAACATATTTTCATAGCTTTGCTCTTTCAATCACAATCTTTTATACTTCATTAGCTTTTTTCGTTCAAGAGAAATAATTATTCGAAAAGGCACATACTTTTTGTCTTCGGAACCACCATCCTTTTCAGGGAGAAGACTCATTGGGATCTTTTTAACATTAACAGGTAGAGTAAAATATTAGCTTTTGAAAATATATATTTATTAGGCATTTTATTTTTTGGGAAAGAAATTAAAAGCAAAAAACGATATACATTATTATTCATTAATTTTATTTAAATATTTTAAATAATTAAATATTTATGATTCTCTGGCATTTTTAGATTTTCTTTTAACATGGTAATACCAGTAGTCTCTTACTTTTTTGTTAGTCCATGAACCATTTACTTTAACCAATTGTTCATTTATTCTCATACAAACTTCTTTTGGCAAATCTGTGTAATTAATAAGCTCCTGAAGAATTATTTGTTCTTCTGTATATTTTTGGCTTTTAGGAAGTGGAGATCTTACCTCTTGTACTTTTCCATTACTTGCTGCAGATATTGTCTCTTCTATTACAGCTAGTAAGTCATCATTTATTTGTTCTGTCTCATCATTGTTAATTTGATTTTGTTCTTTATCATATTCCTTTTGCTCACTTACTTTAATATGAGGTAGATTTTTTTTCAAATCCATTTGTTCTTAGATTTAATAAACAATTTTACAGTGGATTTATTGTTATGAATTATAATTATGGAATTATGATATGGGTTATGGAATTAAAATACAGATAATAATTATAAAATTAAATGATCAATGGGACAATAATTAAATTATCAAAAATAAGTTATGATATTATGTATATTTTATTAATAAATAATTATAATGTTTAAATAACAGAGGTAGTTAAAGAATTTTTTCATAATTGTTTTAAAGAATAACACCTTATTTATGCACTTCAATATCTTTTGTTTCTAAACTTCTTTATTGAAAGAATTACCGATAGAAAAAAAATATATAAATATAAACATTAAATCTAATTTGCTGTTATAAAGAATTAAACAACAAAGAATTTATTATTAGTAGTCAGTCAGTTGTTAAAATTTAGTAATTACATAATTACAAGTTAAATTATGCATAATGTAAATAAATAATAAAAAAAATTTAACCAAAGGAACAAAGAGATGTAATTATTTTTTACCACTTATCTTTTCTCAATATTTCTTATTACCAATTATTCTTAAATTTAATACTCCAGCGATCTAAAATCAATTAATAATAACCATTAATATTGTTATCATCAAGTCTAATATAAATATGTATGTATTAGCCAAATAGATATGAATGATATGAATGAACAAATAAAGAAAAAAAAAAGTTTTCAAATCTTCAAATCTCCTTCATGTCAGGAAGCTTCCATGATTAGTTCAGCAATATGATTAAATATTATTTATTATTATGAATAAAGAATCCCACCATAAGAATAATTTCGCTGCTTTAATTCTTAAACCAACAGCATTATTGTATGTTATATTGCATTGTTTAGTAATATTGTCGATCATTAAAACCCGAAGCAGAAACTTTCAAACGACCATCCTTTTCCATTCTCTTATAAAGCAATGGTTCAAATTTTGCAGGGAAATAAATAATGTCTCAAAGAACGTCTGTGCAAAAGATTGTGAATCTTACTAAAAAAGAAACAGTAGTTACACTTGTGAAGGAAATTTTTTATGTTGAATTTTAATAGTAAAAATCGAAATGTTACACA